AGCTGGGAAAATTTGCTCTGCATCACTCTTTCAAAAAAGGAGCCAGACTCTTCAAAACAGATTTGCGTACCTCCTTACACAGAGAGGAATTTTTGCTGGTTTAACTGCCTTCCCTGCTATTTGTAAATATACTGATAGGAAACTATGAGATTTTATGGATATACTTGATTGGCAGGAATAGCTTGCTTGGGTGTTTTTTTAATGGAGCTCACAGTTGGCTGGTGTTAGCAGTGTGAGCAGGCCTTTATGCAAGCACCACCTGCACTATGACAGTGTCTGAGTGAGACTTTTTACCAGGTTCGCAGGAATGCTGTATGTATGTAATCAGAGCATAGCACTTAACTAGAGTTTGTTATCACAGAATCACAGAATGGCTGGGGTTGTAAGGGACCTCTGGAGATCATCTAGCTGTACTTTGGTTGATTCAGAGATGTGCTGCACGCTTTCACATTCACTACAGTTTTCTCAAATTTCTCCATATAGATGCATCCTCAGCACGGGAAGAGGAGACTCAAGCTCTCATTGTGCCCTGACAAGCAATTAACTCAAACATTTTCAAGTATATGAAAGGCTAAAGCTTTACAGAATTTTTTATCTGTTAGCAAAAATCATGTAGGAACAGTCTCCAGGGTGATTTTGTGCAGATCCTTTGTGCCAGGCTGAGTTGTCCTCTCAGAAAATAGATTGTTAGTTATGGGATGGATGGTATGTAATAAGAGACCATTAGTCATGTCTCTTGGTCCATCATGTGACCTACTTTTGATACAAATGAATGACAAAAGTGAATGATTTCAGCTGTGATTAACAAATTTTTTTTCTAAGTGTGAAATGTGCATTGGCTTAGCTTTTCTCACTTGCACTAATGAAAATTTCTGAGTGGGCTTCCATATTGAAGTTGCCCACAAAATAAAGTTGCTTAAGTGAGAGAAGAAACTTTCTGTGCTTAAAATAATTCAAGGGGAAAAGAAGTTTACTAATTTGTGGGATGAAGATTTTACAAAGCCTGTTAGCTATTAAAATGTGTTATACCTAGATAGAAAAAGTCATTGCCTTCACAAGACTCAGGAGGAACAAGAAGGCTGATGCAAAACTAAGAAATTACAGTAGTAGGGCAGCAACTGAAATGAATTCAGTCTTTGCAATCCTAAGGAGAGGTTTTGAGGTCAAGGAGAAGACAGGTCAATTGTCTCAGTGCATGTGGTTTGAAAGTTTTAAATTAATAATTTAACAGATTTCAGACATCTTCTTGACATAAAAACAACATTTAAAACATGTTGTATGTGAATGGCAGGACAGCTTATAAAATCTGATAGGGGAAGTCCCTAAACAAAAAAAAAAGTCTAAACTTACTTTGTCAGTTATTGCTGGGTTTAGGACCTAGTAAGACTCTTGCAGCTCCTTCCCTTATGATGGTGAGTTATTTTAGATATGCCAGTTTTAAATGCAGAATTGTAAAACACCTTTTTTCCTTTGCATTAAATAACCTTGTCTTGATTTAGGTTCTCATGAATGGATAATCTTATCCTTTTGTAAAAATAATTGGTTAACATGCTTCGCTTGCCAGCTAACATTGTCTATTATTTTAAGACTGATATTTCTTAAATTGACGGTTTAGAAGAAGCTACTGAATATTTTATTTGTATCTCCCCATACATAAAAAAAGCGTATTTAATTACATAAATCTAATATTAGCCTTGTTAGCTTAATTTTGGTTGGTTGGTTGGTTTTTCTGGGTTTTGGGCCCCGTTTGGAAAGCCTCATTAATTCTTGCAGACCATCTAGGATGTTTTAAAAAACCCCTGTAATTTACCTGTTGTGGTGGTTTGAATGTCTTCAGAACTGCTGAGAAACTGAAAACATGAATTTGTTAAAGGGTAGCCACTCTGGTTAGCTCAGAAATAGCAGATGACCTGCTGGTAGGGAAACACTACGTTCATGTGCTCTAAAAGGGTCCTACAGGCACCTTTCCAATGCCCCAGATGACTGAAGAGTTACATATCCGTGTCTGACCAGATTCAGGGTAAAGATTACAGGTTACAAGTAGAGCTGTTTGATCTGTAGTAAAAGAAAAAAAAAAGGTAGTTTTACTTTACTTCTCATCCTTCATGTGATACTTTAAAAAAAATAATTATTTCATGCAGACTTGGCAAGTGCAAATGAACATCTCGAAGGATTGTAAAGGCTGACGTTTCTAGTTAGTTCTGTTGGGTTTGGGGTGTTGTTTTCCCCAGCATTGATGGTCAGTTGGGGTGGTTGTCTCCCTTGTGCAGTGCCACACCTGCTTGGGGAAACCCAAAATGGTACTTGTGGTGAAAATGATGCTTCTTTTTATGCCTTAGAGCAGGTGGGGGATCATCTTGCAAAGAGTTTCCTAACCCCTTTTGTAGCAAAAAACTGATCTCTGAGTTTTGACTGGAGTATGAGGCATTGCTGTTGCTGTTGTAAATAACTGAGCTGAGAAAGACAGGATTCCAAAGTGCAAACTGGTCCCTGCCTTGAGAGGGGCACTGAAATGCTTGTCTTCAGGCACACGGTGTGGTGTTTGTGTGCCTGCAAAGGCTGAGTGCTTTCCACTCCAATGCTCTGCAGTAACCCACGTTATCTGAACTGGCTGACTGTGGGCTTTTTTGTTTGGTTTTGTTTTTAAATGTGGCTTTAGACTATGCATGAGGAAGCTGCCTTTAAAAAGGTTCTTGAATTCTGAGTTTAATTCTCTTTTTTTATGTTGGTCTTTCTTTTCTATATCCAGAAGAGAAGGGGCAGCATTCAGCAAAAGATGTTTGTCCTTTAATTTTTATGTAATTGAATACCAGCTTTCAATTCAGCTGTATTGAAATCCATTGAAAAAGAGATATTAGTGTGGTGTTTGTTCAGATTTATGTGTTTTAAAGAGAAAAGCTGACAATGTACTCAATTCTGCTCTCCTTACTCTTTCACAATAGTTATTCACTCTTAATTGCAGTACCTTATGCAATAAATAGTCCCATGGGTTTCAGTAAGACTGTTTAGGGAATTGAATACCACAGTGTTAGCAGAAATGGAAAAAAATGAATAGTGCTTTTAAGAAGTGCATGATTTGGCAAATTGCTCATAGTTTGTACATGTATCAAACATTAATTCTGTTTTGTTTACTTATGGATCAGTTTAAGTTATTACAGAAAACTATCATGTTAATGATGCTTTCTATGACACCTGATGGGACATTTGCAATCCTATTAATTAAATTCTACTTGAAAGTTCTATTTTAGCCTTGTAAAAAATTTTTTACACTGCAAAGTACAGCTTGAATTGGTTACGTTTTTGTATGAAAAGTAAAAAACATCTCTTAAATTTTATTAGTTCCACCAAAAGTAATCATGTGGACGTGGCTTGGCTCATCCACACTTGAATTAGTGGTAAAACCTGCTCAGTATTGCAGGTATATAGAATGTTTCTGTTAAAACTACTCTGTTTCTCTTGAGTGTCCTAGTAGGACCTCTGGGGGGGTTTTGAAGCCTTCCCTGTCCCTTTGTCCTTGACATGGCTGGCCAAGATCATCCTGTGTCTTGCAGCTGTGTAACCTGTACGTGTCCTGACTACTTTGCTGTCCTTGGGGATGAGCTCTGGTTTGGGTCACATGCCCATTCCTCCCATGCATGAGAAAAACATAAGCAACAAAGGAAGAAAAACTCAAATTTCTGTTTAGAAAATGTGTTTTGTTTTAGCTAATGAGTATAACATCAATATTACAATTCTCTTTTTAAAATCAAAACAAACACTGTAGCTGTGCTTTGTCCTGGATTTATCTATGCTATTCATTAACGTGACACGTCATTTTAAGAATGTCATTTAAGCAAACCCAGCTGGTTTGCTTAGATGTAAATGAAGATCAGCTCAGCATGAAGCTTGTTGGAATTGCTTTGTGTCGAATTTTTTCTAACTGGACCTTTTTATCTGCTTTTGACTTTACCAAATTATTTTTTTTTCATCTAAATTAGCACATTTAGGGAACTTCCTTTCTGTTGAAGTTATATCATGGATATCCCATTCCTTCACTCAGTAAAGGAGAAAAGAAAGTGCTTAAAATGGGGCTTGTTTGTGGATAAGAATTTAATGATTTTTAATACCTTGTGGTCATTCAACTGGATAAACGTGGAACTAAACTACCTACTGTTGTTTTGGTCCTTGTTGGTAAATGAAGTTTTAGGAAACAGAAGTCTTTTAAGTAAAATCAAGAGTTACATGGTTCAAAGATGGTAGAAGTTCATAGTATTCATACATTAATATGATTCCTATACAGAGTTTGTAGCTTTCATGGGAATTCCAGAATTGGACTCACAGTTACAAATTATTTAGTTTTTAATGAGTAGAATGGTGGTCTTTGAGTATATGTAATGTAAACTATGCAATTCATCTCCAAAAATGTATCAGAGAACTTATGGACTGATGTTAGGATCTGTGACAGCTTCTTATTTTAGCAGAAGAGTTTGGAGGCAGAGCGTTGCTGTGGCTCTGCACCATGTAACCTTTATGCTTCTAGAAAATTATGTTGATTGGGCAGCTTAAGTGCTTGCTGTCTTTCAGGATTTTGAAATTCCATTGTACAAAAGGAGTTCTGAGGCAGTAGCTACTTTGGAAACTGATTTACGAAAAAGGCTCTGTTTGGAGGATAATATTATGTGCTCTTCATTTCTGCAAGCTGCCCTGCTCTTTTCATTAGCTGGTGCTTCTCTAGGAGGCATTCCTCTCATGCTTTTGTTCTAATCTCTTTTTTCACAACATGAAAGAAAATCCTCTGTTTCATGTGCTCTGTGGAGTTCCTTTCATCCTTCAAAGTGATGTTACTTATTTTGCAATGTAATTGCCTGTATGAGCTTGCTTTTGAGCTGGAAAGCTAAGAACTGTTTTTGTTGGCAGGGTTATAATGTTTGCCCATTTACCACATGTCATTGATTGATAACAGTAAGGAAGTAAATAACTGAAGGATTTCACCTGTTTTCTCATTCTTCTGTTTCTCACAGGTTCATTGCTAAACCATGTGCCTTAGGCCTTAAAGTCCAAGCCAATGGACCACAGAAAGCTCAACCTAATGCTATTCTGGAAAAAGTTTTCACAGCTATTACAAAGGTAGTGTCTAACTAAAATATTTACATTATAAAGTGGGATACTGTGCTACAAACTATGTCTGAATAAAGCAAAGCTAATAGATAAATGGAGTGCTGCATTTTTACACCTAAAATCAGAAATGCTAATACTGGGCACACCATTAGTATGCCAGATTGAGCAGTTGTGCATCCCTTTGTGACACCTCCTGTAAGCTTTTAATCAAAAAATTTTCACAGAAACACTTTGTAGATGTCATATGGCCACTTACTCTTTTTTTGCTTCTTATCTGTTAGAAATTTCCACAAAGTCTTTGGGTTTTTTGGGAAAAAAAAAAAAAAAGAGCTAATTTTGAGCCAGTAAGATTGATACTGTATTTTCCATGAAACTTATAGCTACTCCTTCTAGGGGACTGCCTGAGCACAGGGCACTGGTGTCTTGCTGGTATCCCAGCTACAGGAGAAGAAGCTAGAAAAGTGGGAGAAACTAACTGAATAATAGAGCTTGCAGATTTTTTTTTTTGTGCAAGTTTTTCACCCACAACTTACATCTCTATCTATACATCTCTCACCATGTGACATCTCAACTAAACCTCTATGTCATTCTGTCCATACTTTTTGAAGCATCCTAAACTTTTCTGCAGGAGCTTTTCAGTCCCACCTTGGCTCCAGGCTGCAGCTGGACATGCCACAGAAAGTATTAGACTCAGAGGGCAAAATTGGGTTCAGTGCCACAGACAGTAAAATATCCTGTGGATCTGCCTTGCTTGTGTGTCCCACCCTCTCCTGAGATCACCGTGGCACTTGGTGTAGCTTTTGTCCTGTTTTCAGGGAGGGACTTGTACATACCTTCTTTCTGAAGGCTGTAGCACATGCTCTCTCTCAGACTCAGATGAATGGTTGGATTTTGTTTGTTGTGGGGTTTTCGTGGTCTTTTTCCTTTTTCTACTTCTTTTTTTTTTTTCTTAATATTTCCTTGTAGAATCTGGTAGTCTGACAGAGGGCCTGAAATCCCTGTGAGGGCAAAGAGCTCCAGAGGAGCTCCAGCAGAATCTGGTAGCTACTCTCAGAGAAACTGTCCAATTTAGCTAACTACCTTTTTTGAATCACATACAATAGTTCTCTCTAGTCAAACTCCTAAGAGCTGCATCAAGTATTTGACTTTTCTAAGATTACAGACATTGGTTTTCTTAACCTTCCATTATAAACTAATGGCTACTTTGGTTGACTAAAAAACTTCTTTGAGATAGACAGCAAATACTTTTTCCTTCTCTTGTCTCATTTCCCTTTTTTTTTGTGTTTTCGTGGAGGCTGATAGACAAAACTTCAGCCTGACCAAAGTTTTGCTGTTCTATATCTTGTAGCATTTAAGAAGTTTTTGTCGTGAGAGCTCTTGTATCTCATTCAATTATATAACTGGCTTGCAGAAATAAAGCTAAAACTCCAGAAAACACATTGTCCGAAAGCTTTTTCTGTTTCTTTAAAAAGCAATGTGATTTGGAGAAATATGTAAGTAGTACTCATGCTGTGCTGTACATGTAGAATTGCTGAATGATTGAAGATGTGCCCTGTACTGCTCTTAAAATTAAGGACAGACTTATTTTCTTTTGCCTTACCTTACCTCTGCACTGGTTTACAGCTGTGCTGATGGTATGAGAGTTCCACATTTTCTGCTTTGCAGGATATTTACGTATAGTTAATTTAACAGAAAAAAATTCTCTCTCATTGTTGTCAAAGTGATTTTCCTTTTGAAGTTGTCACTTTGTTTAATGACCTCATTTTTTAACATTAAAATTCACAAACATGGGATTTATCTTCTTTCTGTGCTAGTCAAACCATCGTCACTACTGCAACAGATGATAGGACAAAGATCCTGATGTAGGAGGATGGAACAGGCACACTGTGTGTCAGGCAGCGGGGTGTTTGTAAGACCCGCTGCTCAAGAGGTGCATGGCATTTTATGCCTACTTACCTTCACTTCCAAGTTTCAAACAAGTTTTAATCCCATTGTTCCCTTTAAGTTTCTTACTAGTAATGACCTGTGTGTCATATTACAGGATCTGTTCTTCTAGATCAATACCAGTCACTGTAAATGTATTTTGATGGGAATCTGCCAGTAGAGATTTCTGTGAACATATTTCTGTGTATCCATGTGTCTCTTAGGCAGCCTTGATAAGAAGTCAAGAGTCAATTATAGTGGTTCTAAATTTAAAGCATTAATGCAATTGGGAAAGAAACTAATTTTTACACTTCTCTGTTCTATAGCATCCAGATGAGAAGAGGCTGGAGGGCCTCTCCAAGCAGCTGGACTGGGATGTGCGCAGCATTCAACGTTGGTTTCGACAAAGACGCAACCAGGAAAAGCCCAGCACTCTTAGGAAGTTCTGTGAGAGCATGTAAGGATGTGTGTTCTCTTCTTGAGTTTTGTTGAGCCCATGTTCTCATCAGTTTTCCCCATTGTACTTTACAGGTATTTCTGTAGACAGGTAGAAAATTATACAAATTGGTAGAATATGACTTCTTTAATGAGACAAACAATCTTCATTCTCCTGAAGGAGTCAGATTGTGCTTTTTGTGTACTTTCAATGGTCAAAAGCTTTCAGAAGTCAAACAGTTGTGATTCTGTACTGTCAGGGTGCCAGCCTGATCCTTTAAGAGAAGTTGCCTTGTGTTAGGGTGCCTAGAGCCCTACCTTTAGCTATAAACCTGACAGAGATCTGAAATGGAAGAGTAAAGATGAAAGCCAGTTGGGTTGTTAAACAAGAAGAAGACAATAGATAAATTGACTAAAGACGATTGCCCTCTAATAAAAAGAGGAACTTAAATGTCAGAGTGCTTAAGTCCTCTCATTGGTATTTACAGCTAAAATCCTCCTTGCTAAATATTTAATAAGGCCAGGCAGGGTGAGATTATGGATAAACCTAGTCATCCTGTTGCCAGCAGCTGGTGGCCTTAGAGTTAATGATTTTTGAGATCAGTGAAGAGCACCCTTTTTTTCTTTAAGGGTTGTAGTTGTTAACTGGTCTGCTTAACTTGTGGGAAAGGCTATGGACTCTTGGGAAAAAATTAAAACTGTATTAGTGTTAGAGCTAGTGTATTTGGGTGGTATATCTTGCTGCCTCTGTAACTCAGGTCAAAGACTTCACTCTCTTGCACTAATGCCACCACATCTGGGCTGACATAGTTGTTAAGAAAAACTTAAACATACCATGAAATACCATCACAGATTGGATGGTAATGTCCTTTGTGACATTCATTATGGAGAAAGCATGCAGATGACAGCTATGAATGCAGAATGGAAGGTAAGGTCAAGCTGTAATGAAGTGCTGACAGAATTTAGTGCCAGTTTTGTTTAGAGGGAGCCATTGGGCATTATTGCAATATGTGTACTTGATAGTAATGCCCAAAAAGAAGCAACATGGCATAAATAATGGGTGGATAGTTCAGGTTCCATCTGCTAATGGTTTGAGGAGGTGCAGTGGGAGTTGCCTCTCCATTTCTGTATGTACATAGTGCTGTGATAATGAGGTGTTACCCAGCCAACCATGTGTGCCTTGCCCTGGGAGCATTTCCAGTGGTGGAGTATGTGCCACCAGCTGACCTGTCACATGTTGGATGAAGTTGTTGGCAGATAGCCAGACTAGCACTGGGAAGCCAGGGCTACCCTTTTATCCCCTCAGTATGGGTGTTAAACTGTTGTCTAGTTAAATCTGCCCATCAGGGCACTAAGCAAGGTACTTCAGTATGTTTTGACTAAAGAAATTCTTTGGTATGAGGTCTGTAGCCTTTTCACAGCTATTGAGTTAACAGGTGGCTTTTTGGATGTAGTGTCTCTGTGTGGCAGCTGCTGGGCTGCATAAAGTACGTCATGGGAAGGGGGGCACTCAAGTCTTCAGTAACTGGGGTGTCAGTGGAGAGTTACATAGCCAGGACAGAGAACGAAATGTGTCCTTATGTAATAAGTACAGAGCAGGCAAAATGACAGTGATCCCTGCCTACACCTTCATACTGTTGAGCTGCTGTTGTCCCTCCAGAGAAGACTTGAGTTTTGCTGGCAATGGTATTGATTGACTGTGGCTTGGGAAGAAAAGTGACAGAACACACAGCAAATGTGAAGTTACTCTAAAAAGAGTTCCACTTCTTTTTACGTGGAGATGATTCAATTTACTGCTAGACAAAGTGTTCCTTGGGCCCAGAGTGGCTTTTGCATGATGAAAGGGAGAAGGCAGCTGTGCCAGAAGGGCTGTAGGCCATTTCTGACTGCCTTATCTTTCTTGCAAATGAATAGCGTGGGCACTACATAAGGTAGAGGAGTTTCAATAGGACAAAGGCTGAGAGTGCAATTTAGTGATAAACACACTTGCCTGAGATGCATGACACCCAAGATCCAGTCCCAAACACATTATACCAGTAACTTCATCAGCAGATTCTTATTGTCCCAGATTTCTCACTTTCTCTTTCCCTTCCCTTCTTTTTCTTTTCAAGCAATTCCAATTCTATTCCTAAACAGAGTGTAGGGAAACTCCAAAACCTACACTGCTTTGGTGTTTGGTTTTTTGGTTTTGGTTTTTTTTTTCCAAATGGAATAATTCCTTTGCTGCCAGTCTTTGTCAGATATCCTGACCATTGGCAGATGGTGGTTATATGAAGAAAAAGGCAGTAATAAAATCTCTGTCTAGACACTGTTTGTGCCATGGCATTATAGTGAAAATAAACTATTTTTTCAGGAAACTTAACCAGCATTCCCCCCCACAGTTTTGTCTGTCAATCTGAAAGAGAAGGTGTAATTTGATTATTGGAGGTGTAGAGACACTAAGGGTGAGACTTCAATGGCATCATGTACCTGCTTAAGATTTGAGATGTTAATGGTGATAAGTATCTATTTGAAATACAAAATAGATAATTTCACCAGGTGGTGCTTAATAATCCATTATTAGTTTTTCAACTATTTGGTCATTCTGGCACAAAACTTGAAGTTAAAGGCAGTCACAGTTTGCAGTCACTAGGAAAGGCGTCCACATGGTATAACCTCAGATTGCAAAGATCAGGCACTTAGCTTACTCTATGAGCTGCTGGGGTTAGTCGGTCCCTAGCTTTTCTTTCTCTTGTGTGAATTTAGGCAATTTTGGCTCCTTTTCTCGACTCGAAAGATCCAAGGAGCATAAAGGAGACGACAAAGTGGTGAACTGAGTGTGCAAAGTGGACTTTTCTACTTCCATGTATTTCTGTTGGGTTTTTATTAGTCTTTCCTTTCTGTCCCCATGGCACTGCCTAATATCAAGAAAATGACTTCGCTGATTGCCAGACCAAATACAGGATCTGAGAATGTCTTTGTTAAAATCTGATGTGTCAGAAAGCAAATGCAGTGTCGATTCCCAAACCACTTCCAGTTTCTTCCCCAGCGTGTTGCGCTGCTGCTCACGCTACCAGTGCAGAGGCGTGTCTGATTTCCTCAAGGAATAAGTAGTATAGAAAGAGACAGCGTTCTGTTCTCCCACCTTGTTGTCCAGATCAACGTGAAAGAACCTGTGATGGCATAAGTTATTAGCCTGGGACTTTGGAATGTCATCAGGCTGATGACTTGTCTGTCCTACGGCTATGTACATTTAAGCAAGATGTTTATTAGAGACATTTATGTGGTTTCCAAGGAGTGGCTGAAAGAAACATATGGCCAAGAGAGTTTTTTTGAGTTTATGCAACATTCTATGTGTGAAAACATAGAAATGTGCAGACTGAAGAGCCAAAGATACATTTTTCCCCCCCTCTTTCCTTTCTAGAAGAAACTTGGATACCAAAATGTTTGTAAGTGAGGTGTCTTTTAGTTTTGATGTAGGAGAGAGAAGAGTCTCTGTCTCATATCCTAGCCAGACATTTTTTTTTCCTAGGGCATTGAAACTGTGTTTATGCACATTGCTTTGAGGGACATTTTATCTATCTAGAGTTGGTGGGTTTTTTTGCTTGTCATGCACATTTATGTGAAAATTATATGGGCTGTTTACAAGTTCTTGGCTATACTGCTTTTCTCAACTAGCAGAGTAATTCTCTCCTACAAAAATGTATTGGAAAAATAACTATGCAAGGGAAAGAAATTAAGACAGATGTTTGGTTGTTGAAATTCTGAACTGTGGTGATACAAATCTTAACAAAATGCATAGAAGTATTCTTCAGTCTGTGCTTTGCGTGTAGCAGTAAAGCCCTAGAAAATAAATAGGCTTCTAGCTTTGATTTTTTAATACCATCAAGCCCTCTTAAGCTTCTAAAAAATATCTGATCTGAGGAAAAATATGTGGTAAATGGTATTTTGGGTCCATTTAATTCTGATTTGTCAGCTGCTTCAGTGCTACATGCAATGAAGGACTAACCAGTGTTTCATGACCAGAAAAGAGAACAAGGGTCTGTGAAGTCGTGCTATATGCTCTGGAGTGAGTGTGATAGTTACTCTTCAATGGCGGTAGAATTGGTAGTATCTCCCTTGTTTTCCTCTGCTGTTTTCCATGGAACAGGAATGGCTGTTCCTCCTCACTCTCTAAGAGGAATGAGGCGTAATCTCTTCGTTGGTTTTTTTGGTCTGTTCAGGAGATCTAAAGCACTGGTAACTCAAACAGCTGCTTGGTGAAAGGGGAACTGCGTGTCTGACTAGTATGCTGATAAACAGTTAAAAGTTTTCCTTGCTATTGTAAATCTGGATTCTTTATTTTTTTCTTAACTGGGCAGATACTCAGTTCTGCTGCTCCTTCTCGTAATGTGCTGCAGTGGCCTGTGTCCTGCCATGGGCTGCGTGCTACATCCACGAGCTCGTGGGACAGGTGCTTCTGCTGACAAACTGCTGATCATAAGACAGCAGTTTTGTCTGAAAGAGAAAGCATCAAGGAAAATCCAAAATTTCTGGTAGTCACTATGAAAGGGAGCAAACTCTGCAAGGAGGAATAGTATTGAAAGCCACTATGTAATTACTGATTTCTTTCTTCTGAAACGCTTAGTACTGAAACAGTTAATAGAACTGAAACTCTTTTATACAGGTGAAAAAAAGTGAGTCATTTGCATTTTTCTTTTGTTGATCCTTAGCTTGCTTCTTTCAGTATTTCAGTTAGCTTTCTGTGACCTTGAATGAAATACTCCTTGGTGTTTCACAGACACTTACAATACTGGAGCAGATAATTTATATTTTTCTTAGTGGTGTCTGAAGAACACAGTATTTTGTGATATAATTGAGGACTACGAAGTGTGTTTTGTGTACACCTCACCGTGTCTGGATGTAGATTTCTTTTTTCCCCTTTCTCCCTGCTGTGGACTTAAAGGGAGTTTGGCAGTAAGAATAAGAGGAGTATTCCTTCAAGCACGTAGCTGAGTTTATAGCCAAGAGACTGCTTTGGCTCAGATCAGGCAACAAGTTTCC